GGTGCTAGTTTACGTATAAGATATTGCCTAAGAGTTAGCAAGTAGGCGAATGAGGGTTTTTTGGGCTTTGTGGGGCTTAAGGGTTTACAGGGTTTACGGGGTTTACGGGGTTTACAGGGTTTGGAGGTGTTTTTAGGCTCCTGAACCCCAAAAGCCCTAAGCCCCGAAGAACAAAGCGAGACCGAAGACTCATAGACATGTTGTGCTAGATTTGGGAGTAACCTAGGAATAACAACGGTGCCCTTTTTGGTGTTAAGGGGATTATAAGGGAGCCCCAACCTAAAAAAAGGAAAACAAGGCCTACTCCCGGTCCTAGTGTGTGTCTATATCAACCCTGGAACGCCAGGCATTCCATACTCATGGCGAAATCCATCCTTTCAGAGATACGCCCTTGCATTGCTGCAACAAGCAACTTCGCCGCAATGATCCCCAAAGCCTACAACATTTAAATCCTAAAGCCGGAGCTCCAAACCCAGAATCCTAAACCCTAAAACCCCCAAACGCCGCATCCTCAACCCTAACCTTTAACCCTAAACCTTTAACCCTAAACCCTAAACACTAAACCCTACAACAGCTAAATCCCAAAGCCCGAACCCTGTCTTGCTCCTCCAACAATGCCAGCATCTCGGCCGCCCGCTCCTCTGCAGCCGCCTGTTCGGTTGCCGGAGACCGTCCCAGGTAGTGCAGGGTTTAGGGTTTCGGGTTTAGGGGTTTAGGGGTTTAGGGTTTCGGGTTTAGGGGTTTAGGCTTGGGGTTCAGGTTTAGGGTGAAACGTGTACGCTTGTTAACGGTTGCCTGTCACGACTGGCCCTGATGGAGCATTCGACAGCCCGATATCCGGAGTTTGGAGTGACCCCCCCACAGACCCCAAACCCCCCCAAACCCCCTAAACTCCCTAAACCCCCCAAAACTCTCTAAACCCCCCCTAAACCCCCCAAACTCCCTAAACTCCCTAAACTACCTAAACTGCCCAAAACCTAAACCCCCGAAACCCCCTCAACGCCCTGAACCCCCAATTCTCTAGCCTTAGACCCTCAAGATCCAAGCCCCCAAGCATTCAACCTGATTTCCGGACCTAAACCCTAAACCCGAAACCCTAAACCCTAAACCCTAAACCCCTTCACCCAACTGGAGCTTTCCGAAATTTGGGGTACCTTCTGGGAGCATTATCAAGGAATCCTGGACATGTGTGCTGCTACTTTTTTATGTGCATGCACATAACAAAGTAGCAGCACACGTATAAGGGAATCCTACTATTCGGGGTCTATATTTTTCGCAAGCCCCAAGATATCGAAGCCCTGGCACCTTCCTTGCTACCGCGCCGCTACTATCACCGAAAGGAGTGAGCAACTGGATATCCCCCCCTCCCCGCCACTACCTTCGGGTTTTCAAGGGCCCCTAAACCCTGAACCCTAAACCATCAACCCCTCCTCAACCCTCAACCCTCAAGCCTCAAGCCTCAACCCTCAACCGTCAACCCGTCAACCCTAACCCCTAAACCCTCAACCCCTAAACCCTAAACCCTAAACCCTAAACCCCTAAACCCTAACCCTAAACCCTCAACCCTAACCCCTAAACCCTAAACCCCTAAACCCCTAAACCCCTAAACCCCTAAACCCCTAAACCCCTAAACCCCTAAACCCCTAAACCCCTAAACCCCTAAACCCTAAACCTGACCCCTAAACTCAGGGCCTAGGCCGCCCCCCTACAGAGGGGGGGCGGCGCTTAAGCCCTTCGACCCAGGTCGCTTGCCCGCCTCCTGCAGCCAGGAGGTCAGTAGCACCCACGATGGGCCCGGTACCGGAGCAGGTTCTCCCGGGGACCAGTACTGGTCCCCTTAAAAAAGGTAAATACCCTAAACCCCAAGCCCTTCACCCTGGATGGCGCTGGCATTTCGGGGGGGGGTACCTCAAGGCCCCCAGGCCAGGAGGACCCGGACCCCTGCACCGCAGCGTGTCCAGGGACCAGGGGGCCTCAGGCCAGGCCAGGCAGGGCGGGTGCTCAAAAAAGCTGATTTGGGTGCTTGGGGGGTCCCCCTGGCCCCCCCTGGCCTTTGCGGGGCCCTTGGCCTTTTTCACCGTTGAACCCCCCTAGAACCCCTGGCTTTGGGCCTTCTGGGCCCCGTTGATTTCTGCATGCAAACCTGGAATTGGGCCCCTGCCTCACTGAGCCCCTGACCCCCTTGCTTTTTCCTCTGCGCCTCCTTAGCTGGGCCGCTCTGGGCCCCTCTGCCGGGCCCCTGGGCTGCCCAGACTGACCCTGGCCTGGGCCCGTGATCCTTCTCCCTCTGTGGAGGCTTGTTTTTTGTGAAAAGCCGTGACGGAATGAAGAAGTTTTATGTAAAGAAAGCAGTTGGCTTGAGTTTAGGCCTAAACCCTAAAAGGAATAGGTTTGGGTGGCTTTGCCGCCTTGGACGGCGTGGGGTGGGAGAAAGTGTTAGATGGCCTTCCACAATCGGGCCAAAGCTGCTCTTCGCACCTCACGACGCTTTCGAGCTTGTTCCAAAACCTAACCTTCACAGCATCTACGCCCTATCACAGCAAACCCTAAACCCTAAACCCTAAACCCTAAACCCAAAACCCTAAACCCTGACCCCCTAAACCCTAAACCCTAAACCCTAAACCCTAAACCATAAACCCTAAACCCTAAACCCTAAACCCTAAACCCTGACCCCCTAAACCCTAAACCCTAAACCCTAAACCCTGAACCCCTAAACCCCTAAACCCTAAACCCTAAACCCTAAACCCCAAACCCTAAACCCTAAACCCTACACCTGGGGATGCCTCGCGCAGCTTACGCCGCAAGTGGTGGAGCATTGGCTCAACGAGCTGCTCGGGGGTCAGTCGTTGGAGCATGGAGCGCTGGCTCCGGTCGGGCTTCGTGGGCGGCCCGTGGTCCTCTTAGGGTTTAGGGTTTAGGGTTTAGGGTTTAGGGTTTAGGGTTTAGGGTTTAGGGTTTAGGGTTTAGGGTTTAGGGTTTTGGGGTTGTGCACACGTACCATCTACCATACACTTCGCACTTTCATCCAAGCCTAACGCTTCCGGTGAGTGCTCGTCATCCTGCTATGCATTTCGGCGGGCGTGAGTGTTGTGTTAGAGTCTTGGGTTCTCATACGCTCTGATCCCGTTGCATGGCCCTGTTAACCCCTTTAACGCTGTAACCCTTGGCCCCCAGCACCCAATGGCTTAGACTCAGTGTCCAGGGCGAGAGTTTCAGGTTTAGGGCAATAAATGGGGTTTAGGCCTCTAGTATGCCCGTCTAGACTCGACATGAGGAACTTATGTATATTCAGAGGGAGACAATACTTCCCTAAACCCTAAACCCTAAACCCTAAACCCAAAAACCCTAAACTCCAAACCCATGAAAAGTCGGGTCCTTGTGGTGACAGAACTGGCACGAGGAACCCATGTGGCCCGAGTGGCCAGCAGAGTTCTTGATGATGTAAACGCACGGCCGATGGCATAGGACTGGATGACCATAGCTCCCTGGATTGTCATAGTGGAATTTGCCTGCGCTGGACCCAGAACAGGTCTTCGACTGGGGTTTTGGGCTTCTGGCTTTGTGGTCCATGGAGTGAAGTCGGGATTCGTAACTCAATTCAGAAGCAGGATCTGAGAGGAGCTTCTCTCGCGGCTTGCCAGGAGTATGCCCTCACCAGGCTACCATCAATCAAGGCAAGGTAAGGATGACAAGTGGCATGGGTTTAGGGCTTAGGGCTTAGGGCTTAGGGCTTCGGGCTTAGGGTTTAGGGTTTAGGGTTCAGCGCCGGGCCTGGCTCTGCATGTACCTCAAGCAAAGCATCACGGCGAAAGACAGACTCCGGGGAGCGTGGCGAAGGCGTCGCCTGAGCTACTTCTGGAGGTTCGGGGGTCTCCGGGGCGCGCGGCTTGCCAGGAAGCGTCCATTATGGGGTTTAGGGTTTAGGGCTAGGGTTTAGGGCTACGAGGCTCAGGCATATGCAGAGCGGAATGACCTGAGAGGCAGCTTTTCAGGTAGATTTCAGCCCAGAAGGGACCTCACATGCAGCCGCGGCACTTCAACTTCGGGGGGCGGAAACGAGCGAAGGATTTCTTGGATGGTCTTCTGACCGGTCACCATGGCGCGACCCACACGACTGTTGGGCAAACCTCACAACAAAGGAGCCACGCTCGAAGAAGACGGCAGCTGATACCCCTAAACCCTAAACCCTAGCCCTAAACCCTAAACCCTAAACCCTAAACCCTAAACCCTAAACCCTAAACCCTAAACCCTAAACCCTAAACCCTAAACCCTAAACCCTAAACCCTAAACCCTAAACCCTAAACCCTAAACCCTAAACCCTAAACCCTAAACCCTAGCCCTAAAAGAGAAGCCCGGAGCTGCCCGTCCCAAAACCCTGAAACCTGACACCCCCAACATCCTCGTGGTTCGGGTTTAGGTTTAGGGTTTTAGGGTTTAGGGTTTAGGGTTTAGGGTTTAGGGTTTAGGGCCTGCTGCCACCCCTGTTCCGGTCCATGTACCGTTATGTATTGGGAGGATGGCTTGGTGGTGGCGCGTCCCTGTGTTGGGTCTACGTATCTCAGGGTTTCCGATGAACTCTCGGTCCCCTTCTTGAGGGGCTCATTTTGAGTGGTGGGGTGGAGGAGGTTCCACTGGATACTTGGGGTGAAAAACGGGCACCATCTAAGGAATCGACTAAAATCTGATACCTGACCCTAAGCCCTACAAAACCCCAAACACCCTCCACCCGCTGGCCGAAAGCTCAGCATTCTTATAGGGCTTGAGGAGCTCTTCGGAATCTTCGTGGGCCCCAAGCTTAGGTAACCCCCCCCCCCCCCCCAGTCTTCAACTGCCTGCAAGGATGCCAGCTCGTCTGGGGCGCTTTTGCAGTGAAAAATGCGTCGTTGCTGAGTTGTCATTTTTGAGATTTTGATTTAGGCTTTTGGGTGGTTCCTAAACCCTAAACCCGAAACCCTAGGCCCCAAACCCTGAGCCCTAAACCCTGAAATGTTTGCGCCTGCCTCCCAGTAGTAGTCTTCCACGGCATACATCCGCCCCGGGATGTGCACCTTCCCATACAAGCCACACTGCAACATAAGCACATAGAATAATATATACATATATCTGTTTACATAGTCATACATATACATAAACACATAGACATATGTATGATGACGTACCATGATCTACTGAAATCTGAAATGCTGATAAACAATACGACTAACAGAATACACGAGATGTGGGCGTTTGGAAGACGCAATGTCTGCATGTTCTTTTCACATGTAAATTGCCCACGGGGGGTTTGCCGTGGTGGACACCCGCGGGGCACATCCCCACCTACCATTCATCGGTCTGTTCGGGAGATTACATTTCATTCGATCGGGGCTTTATGCTCTTTATTTTTCTTCCCAACTTCTTGAATGCTGCCAAGGGGGTTCTTCGATCATGTCCTGAAACCCGATTGACCCTGAATCCCTGGAACCGATTAGGTTTAGGATTTAGGGTTTAGGGTTTAAGGTTTAGGGTTTAGACCGCTTCGGGATGGGACTCAAGTTGTCAAGGGTTGAGGGTGTTTGACCACCCTGGCTCCAATAGCTTGCATAAAACAGATACTCCTGAATCGCCCCCGAAACTTGAACCCCTAAACCCTAAACCCTAAACCCTAAACCCTAAACCCTAAACCCTAAACCCTAAACCCCGAACTTCGAAAACCTTGACACAAAAAAACCTTAACCTATATCAAGCCCTGATTGTAAGGGAGTCCTACGATTTGGGCACTAGATTCGGGGTCCCTTATGTTCGTAAACGCCTCACGAACGGAACATAAGCCCTGTGCGGACTTCGATCCATGAACTGTCTAAACCCTGAAACCTTATAGGGTTTAGGCTTGAGGGTTGCCAGTTTAGGGTTTAGGGTTTAGGGTTTAGGGTTTAGGGTTTAGGGTTTAGGGTTTAGGGGACCCCTAAACAGACCCCCAAATAGTAGGATCCCCTTCTAATGAGGACCCCAATAAGGTACCCCCAATGATGCAAACACCCATATACCTAGGTACCTTGGACCCCTAAACCCTAAACCCTAAACCCTAAACCCTAAACCCTATACCCTAAACCCTAGACCCTTGGGTTGGGGGACCCTTTAATCCTTCAGGTAGTCTACGGGCCATTTTGGGCGTATATTCATGGGAAACCTCTAGGCTACAACCTTAGGGATACGGCTCTGCATCCCTTAGAAAAACTAAAACCTGGGTCAAAGGCACCGGTTTCAGAGCTGTCTGCCCGTTCACTTTGTTGAAGTAGTTGGCAAAGTCGTCCGCTTTCAGGGTGGCACTCATGAGGACCACCTGCTAGGACGCAGAGGGATCCCCCAACCCTACACCCTAAACCCTAAACCCTAAACCCCAAAGCCAGTAGCAAAAGGGGAGTAAGGACACACCGAGCCTTAGGCAGGGGATGCTCCCTGTTCTGATTGCATATACAACCTAAGCACCGGTGTTCATTATAAGGTTCTTACGGGAGGGGGGTTCAAGGGAGGTGTATATAACCCAAGGTCCCCTGGGTTATATACCCCCCTTGAAACCCCCCTCCCTTAAGAACCCTGTAAGTTTAGTGGTTGGGCTTAGGGGTCTATTTTGCGCTCTGAGTTTTGCGGCTTCCAGCATACGCACCTGAAGCCACTCGTCACTGCCCTAGAACCGAAAGGGTTTCGTCGAAGAGGTTCTTTTCCCGCCAGGTAGCAGATACGCCTACTATCAAAAAGCAATTCCCAACACCTCCCACTCGATAACCCTAAACCTTAAAGCTTAAAAACCCCGAAACCCTGTAACCCCAAAACCTCAAACCCTTAATCTCGAACACCCTAAAACCCCAACACCCTAGCCCGAAAACTCTAATTTCTCACAGATTGAAACCCTTTAACAACCTGAAACACTGAAACCTCAAACCTCGAAACCCTGAAACCCTAAAACCCTAAACCTTGAAACCTTGCAACTCTGAAACCCTGTAACCCTAACATCCTAAACCCCCAATACCAGGAGGGGAAACAGCCTTCCCTTCGTTTAGATGCCCATCCCCACAGCACCAAGCACAGCCCCACATGATGACGAGGCACCACTGCAACCGACCCCCGGACCCGTGCGCAGGGGCCCGGTTTAGGGTTTAGGGTTTAGGGTTTAGGGTTTAGGGTTTAGGGTTAACCCTACACCCTAAACCAAAACCCTAACTCTAAACACCCCGCAGACACCCTCAAGGGCAACCCCTAAACCCTAAACCCTAAACCCTAAACCCTAAACCCTAAACCCTAAACCCTAAACCCTAAACAGCTGCCGACCTTGAGATGAGGCATTCGACCATTCAGCATGGCTTCCTTGAGTAGGAGAAGAAGGAAGTCGGTGTACACCTGGGTTTAGGGTTTAGGGTTTAGGGTTTGGGGTTTAGGGTTTAGGGTTTGGGGTTTAGGGTTTGGGGTTTAGGGTTTAGGGGGGTTTGGGTTTAGGGCTTAGGGCTTAGGGCTTAGGGCTTAGGGCTTAGGGTTTAGGGTTTAGGGTTTAGGGTTTAGGGTTTAGGGTTTAGGGTTTAGGGTTTAGGGTTTAGGATTCCGGGACTGAATTAGAGTGCCCTTCTCATCTCTGAGTGGGGTGGGCCGAATGGCTGCAGCGTCCTGCTTCTTGCGGGAATTCCCTTTATCACCCTTCGATTGGCCTTTCTGGCCCAAGGTGATCGAAGGACCGCTTACGCGGATGCCGTTGACTTCCCAGTCAAGGGTTTTCCCAGGTCCACGGACCTCGGCAACCAAGCAGTCCAGCTAGATCTGCAGTGAAGCAGACCCCTGGCTCGGCTGAAGCAAGTGCCACGCACTTGCCGTTGGCCTGAGGGTTTAGGGTTTGGGGTTTAGGGTTTAGGGGGTTTGGGGTTTGAGGGTTTAAGGGTTTTAGGGTTTAGGGCTTGGGGTTTAAGGGTTTCAGGGTTTAAGGGTTTAAGGGTTTAAGGGTTTAAGGGTTTAAGGGTTGAAGGGTTGAAGGGTTTAAGGGTTTGAGGGTTTAAGGGTTTAAGGGTTTCAGGGTTTAATTAAGACTTAATTAAGGGTTTAAGGGTTGAAGGGCTTCAGGGTTTAGAAGCGTGGGGCTTAGGGTTTTGGCGCAGTTGAGTCTTCGGGGAGAGTCCATCAGCTTAGCCCTGAACCCTTAACCCTAGACCCTCAACGCCTAAATCCTAAACCCTAAACCCTTTAGGGGTTTGGGGATGTTTTCGGGTCAGGGTTTTGGGGTGTAGGGAAGAGGGGTGCCGATCAGGAAGTGCAACGGGGTCTCGAAGATAAACTCCCCTTCTAACCTAAAAAAAACACTGGGTTTTTAACCTATTAACAAAATACCTACTAATTCCGAATTAAGGGGTCTGTATATAATATGTAAACAAAATGCAACATATTTCCTAAGGGGTGCAATAGACTAACCAAATAAGGGAAACAAGCCACTTCTGAGGGACCCTTAAGGTTGTACCCTTGGGTTCTGGGGCCCCTTGTTAAGGATCCCTAAGGGCATATAAGGGCCATATTAGGAGTCTATTCAGGGGAACCTTTAGGGGAACAACCTTAGGGGAACGAGTCTTCATCCCTTGAGAGGAAACTCTGGGGCCTGCAAAGCCAGACTCGCAGCCTCGGACTTGCAACCCTTGCTACCCTTGCACCGGGATGGAAAGATCCAACCTGAAGCCCCCTAAACCCTAAACCCTAAACCCTGAACCCTAAACCCTAAACCCTAAACCCTGAACCCTGAACCCTAAACCCTAAACCCTAAACCCTAATCAAGCATGATCTTCACAAAGGCAGTCGGGCTTGTAGTCGTTGCGCCTTAACTCCTCACGATGGCCCCTACACTCTGATCCCATCCCTCGAATCCCAATAAACCCTATACGGTATAGGGTACGTATAGGGTATAGGGTTTAGGGTTCTGGGTTCTGGGTTCAGGGTTTCGGGAAACTAGACACAAGAGTAACCTGGGAAGAAAGAGGGCAATGACCCTTCCGGGCTTAAAGGGGCCAAGACGGAAACCTAAACCCGACAACAAAAAGGGAAAACAAGGGCCCACTCTGGGTTCTAGTACCCTGTAAGCCCTATGAACCCTATGTCTCCCCCGTTCAGCCGGTGTGAGAGCGGAATCCGGGCGCCCCCGCATCACGCTCATGCACCTCGTCAATGATGAGGCAGCCGATGCTGTCCTTGTTGCCATACGCAGCTTCTGCACCGGTAGGCGATTGGGGCTCTTCCGGGTGTAGGGTTCGGATTCAGGGTTCAGGGTTCAGGGTTCAGGGTTCAGGGTTCAGGGTTCAGGGTTCAGGGTTCAGGGTTCAGGGTTCAGGGTTCAGGGTTCAGGGTTCAGGGTTCAGGGTTCAGGGTTCAGGGTTTAGGGTTTAGGGTTTAGGGTTTAGGGTTTAGGGTTTAGGGTTTAGGGTTTAGGGTTTAGGATTCAGGTTTAGGGTTTAGGGTGGGCCGATAGAAGCAGCTTGCAGCTACCTCCCCCCCCCCCCCCCCCCCCCCCCCCCGACCCTTGCCCCAAAACTGAGCTAATCCTAAACTCGCAAAGCCTTAGCCTCCCCCCCCCCCCCAGTCCCCCCCACCCCAAGTTCTAAAGCTTAGGGCACCCTTTTGGGTCCTATATTTCGTACGGCGGATCAAAAACGAGAACTACCCAAATCTAAACCCTAAAACCAACCCCCAAACCCTACGTAAACCCTACATGCCAAACACCTCAAGAAAAAGGATGGCAACAGATCGAGGCATCGGCTAAAGTAGGCTCACTGTGGAGTCGGCGCAGCACAATGGCGGTGGTGGCATAGATCAAGCCTTGGTTCTCAAGGCCTTCAAAGGGTTTAGGGTTTAGGGTTTCGGGTTTAGGGTTTAGCGTTTAGGGTTTACGGTTTCGGGTTTATTCAGAGGGCTTGGGGGTTTTGTGCGCGTTTCAGGTCAAAGCTGCTCAAAAAAATGATACGTACAGGGGGAGTAGAAACTTTTCAGGCTTGTCGTTACATAGGCTTATAGGGCTTATAGGGCTCATAGAGTTGAGGATGCATAGGGGGCTACCAAAACTCTCACAGGGCTCAAGGGTGAGTTGCATCTTGTGGGAGTTGGGGCAGGAAGGACGAAATTGGAGACTGCCCTGGCCGACCCGAAAGAAGTTTTTTCGGAACTGCACCTTCAGCTGGGACATAAGCTTCGCCCTAAACCCTAAACCCTAAACCCTAAACCCTAAACCCTAAACCCTAAACCCTAAAGAACAACCCCCAGTGTGAACCCTTAAAAAAAACACAAAACACGAAAGAAAAACGCAACCAAGGAACAAACTAAACAAACCCTTTAACCAGCTAGCAAAAACCCCTAACAAAAAGCCTAAAACACACCCTAATCTAGAGGAGAATAGGGTTTTGGGAGGCAATTGTAGTATAATCATCATAAGGGAATACTACTAGTAGCTGTTCCCCCGAAAAAAAACTCTTCAAGGCCAGCTTGGCGCAGCGCGAGTCGACTCGCAGAACTTGTTGATGAATCGGATCTGATATCCAACCTCTTCACTGAAAGTTCTGCTGGTCTAGGGTTTAGGGTTTAGGGTTTAGGGTTTAGGGTTTAGGGTTTAGGGTTTAGGGTTTAGGGTTTAGGGTTTAGGGGTTTAAAGAGTTTAGGGCTTGCTTCTTGGTTGTAGGTCAAAATATTCGGTGGCTGGAGTTGGGTATGCCGGCTATGGGGTGTGGTGTCTAGGGTGATAGGGCTTAAATCCTGAAGTCTGGAGCCTACAACTGATCTCAAAGTCCAAACCCAAAAATAACCCACCCCGAATGAAGTTCAGCCGAACCCTAACGAGTGAACGACCTTCAGACCTTTGAAACTCTATGTCCCAAAGTCCTCGAGGACACTCCCATTCCTTGCAAGACTGGAGCTTATGGGGATTGCACAGGGATTCATTATGCCAACATTGATCCTGCTCTATTCCGGGTGCCCTAAACATACGGGAACCCCGCAAACCCTGCACCCCAAACCCCCCCGATCCTGAAGACCCTTCGAAAGGGACGAGAAGTCTACGTCCGAAGCCCAGCACCCCAAAACCAGGGCCGAAGGGACCCTAAACCCTAAACCCAAAATCCGAAACCCCAAACCCTAAACCCTAAACCCTAAGGTAGCACTGCTGCCTCATCGCCAAGTTCCTCCGCTTAGGGGAGAGGTTCAGAAAAGTCAGAGGTTGGGTCATCACGGGGCCTCAGATAGGGTTGAGGGTTTAGGGTTTAGGGTTTAGGGTTTCGGGTTTAGGGTTTAGGGAAGCATGGAAGAGCTGCTTGCGAGCACGCGATCCCAACTGTCAAGGGGCTAGAGGAGGGACCCTTCTAAGGGCCCTTAGGTACCTATAGGGACTGTATAAGGTGTGAATATATATATATATATATGTATATGTGTATATGTATATATATATATATATGAATGTATATGTGTATATGTATATATATATATATACGGTTGTATATGTACACATTTATGTATTTATATGGGTTATATCAATATAGGGGCATAAGATTGAGGGTCGCTTCTAGGGGTCCCTCCTTCCACCCCTAAAAACTGCGAGTCCTGGCCCGAGCTTCCCGAACCTGCAACCTCGTAGCTTCCAGACACCCTTGCCTATTCCCTGCTTAGAAGAACCATAATCAACGGTTTAGGGTTTAGGGTTCAGGGTTCAGGGTTTAGGGTTTAGGGTTTAGGGTTTAGGGTTTAGGGGAACATGTTAGTTTCCACATCCCTTGGAGCAAATTTTGCTATACAGAACGAACAGTGAAAAAAAAAACACAACTTTGCAATTGAAAAAGTCGAAAATCACCTGAGGTGCCAGGAGGCTGCCAGCCAAGTAGAGAGGTCTACAGGGTTTAGGGTTTAGGGTTTAGGGTTTAGGGTTTAGGGTTTAGGTTTAGGGTTCACCCAAAACCCAAAACCCAAACGCCTTAACTCCTAAACTTAACGTGCCCTGCAGACGAGGCCGAAAACCAGCTATATAACTCATCTCACATCTAGAAAGCAAAGCTCTCAACCCCGTACCAGCTAAATACTCTACAAACCCCGAAGCCCTCAACTTTAAACCCTGAAAACGAAACCCCCAGACCCTAAACCCTACACACTAAACCCCTCAACCTACTGAAACCCCGAAACCCTAACACCCAAAAAGCCCGAACCCTAAAACCCTAAGACCCTAAAGCCCCTACGCCCCCATGAGCCGGGTGCACTCGATTCTTTAGCGCTCTGAATCACAATAAAGAAGAGGGGATCTCAATAAAACTTCAGGGTTTAGGGTTTAGGGTTTAGGGTTTAGGGCAGGCTGCGGCTGTGAGCTGGAAGCCCCAGATAAGGCTGGAACAGAGCGACCCAAGACCGGACAATTCTGAAATCCTATGCTAAGCGGTTTGAGGTTTAGGGCTTAGGGTCTATGGTTTAGGGTTTGGGATTTAGGGTTAGGGTTTAGGGTTTAGGGTTTGGCAAATTTGGGGTTTAGGGTTTAGGGTTTAGGGTTTAGGGTTTAGGGTTTAGGGTTTAGGTCCTGCCCGCGGTCTCGTGCCACGTACTCGGCCAGAGTGATTGCCGCCACTCGGCGGGGCTGCGTGCAGACCACCACCTGCAATATGGGGCTTCACGGTTGATGTATCCGGTCTGAGGTTCGGTTTAGGGTTTAGGGTTTAGGGTTTAGGGTTTAGGGTTTAGGGTTTAGGGTTTAGGGTTTAGGGTTTAGGGTTTAGGGTTTAGGGTTTAGGGTTTAGGGTTTAGGGTTTAGGGTTTAGGGTTTAGGGTTTAGGGTTTAAGGCCCTAAGTAACCCCCGTTGCTGAAGCTTGTGGCTGAACCCAGAAGTAGAGGGATGTCTGCTTAGACCCCATGCTGTCCTTCAGCTGCTGGCTCCCCAGCAGGCTAAGAAACGGTTTACATAACAGGGCCCATCTGAGCCCTAAACCCTAAACCGTAAACCCTAAACCCTAAACCCTAACCCCTAAACCCCTAAACCCTAAAACCAACAACGGCAAAGTGGGAATGAGGTTTCTGCTGGTTGTTGGTGTAGATCACTGAGGCCGGAAAAGTTTTGTGGGCTCAGGGTTTATATAGGGTTTATAGGGTTTAGGGTTTAGGGTTAAAGGTTTTAGGGCTTGGGCTTTGCCAACGCCAAGGGCCTTGTCATCCGCGACAAGGTTTTCGGCATCGCAGACCTCTTTGCAGCACCCACGAAAAGATGCTCGAGGGCCCTAAACCCCTAAACGCCCTACGGACATGAAAGCCCCGGACAATCTTGCAACAACCCGGGTTTAGGGTTTAGGGTTTAGGTTAGGTATTAGGGGCTTCATTAAGAGCCCCCCTAAAAAGGGCCTTCCAACCTCTTGAGCCCAATTCTCTTCGGGTTTTCACACTTTTGGGGCTTCGTGGGGTTTGGGGCTTCTAAGCTCCAATCTCGAAGCCGCCCCAGAAGCCCAAACACATACACAATATGCCCCTAACCCTAAACCCTAAACACGAAACCCGAAAGCATAAATCCGAAACCCTAAACCCTAAACCCTAAACCTTAAACCCTAAACCCTAAACCCTAAGTAAGGGTTGTTTTCGGCTTCGGGGAAAGGCCAAGGCGTCAGGGCCCCAGCCAGCTGCGGAATCAGTGTCGACCTTGGGCGGGGTTTAGGGTTTAGGGTTTAGGGTTTCGGGTTTAGGGTTTAGGGTTTAGGTTTAGGGTTTAGGGTTTAGGGTTTAGGGTTTAGGGTTTAGGGTTTAGGGTTAAGGGTTGAGGGTTTAGGGTTTAGGCTTTAGGGATCCTAAACCCCAAACCCTGAAACCCTGAACCTTACGCCCGACATGAGGGGCACACTCTAAACCCCTTAACCCCTCAATCCGAAACCCTGAACCTTATACCCGAAAACATCCCGAAACCCTGAACTCTGCACCCTAAACCCTGAACCCCTCAAGCTTACACCCGAACTCTGCACCCCTAAACCCTGAGCCCCCCAAAACCGAAACCCTGAGCCCCCTAAACCCTAAACCTTCTAAACCCCCTAAACCCTGAACCCTGAACCCTGAAAGCTTGCACATGAGCCCTGCCGCGCTCAAGTCTCCTTCGGTTTCTGCTTAAGCCCGCCCCTCCTGCCTCCCGAAGTTTTAGGGTTTAGGGTTTAGGGTTTAGGGTTTAGGGTCTAAACCCTGAGCCCCCCAAAACCGAAACCCTGAGCCCCCTAAACCCTAAACCTTCTAAACCCCCTAAACCCTGAACCCTGAAAGCTTGCACATGAGCCCTGCCGCGCTCAAGTCTCCTTCGGTTTCTGCTTAAGCCCGCCCCTCCTGCCTCCCGAAGTTTTAGGGTTTAGGGTTTAGGGGTTAGAGATTAGGGGGTTGAGCTAAGGGTTTTGGGTCTGAGTTTAGGTTTAGGGTTTAGGGTTGAGTGCTTAGGTGTTTAGAGCTTAGGGAAGCTTGAGGAAGTTTTTCGGCTTGGAGCTTCGAAGTAGCAGGCGGATACTAGAGAGCCGCGCCAATCAGTCAATCTGTGCTGGTGTTTCGGGCTTGGGGTTTAGGGTTGAGGGTTTAGGTAAGCGGAATCAGCTGCACTGGATCGCAGATCATTCCAGGGTCGTCCGCCAGGAACCTCCCTAAACCCTAAACCCTAAACCCTAAACCCTAAACCCTAAACCCTAAACCCTAAACCCTAAACCCTAAACCCTAAACCTTAACCCCTAAACCGATCTGCTGGAATTCAGCCACATTGCCTCGCTGCGGGTCGCTTGGCTCAGCTTTCCTTGCATTTGCAGCAAGGCCGCGACCCTGTGTGGCTTGGATGCCAACCTTAGGGTCTACATCTGAACCCTAAAAGGGTTTAGGGTTTAGGGTTTAGGGTGTAGTGTTCAACCCTCGACCTCAACCCTACATCCAAAAGCCAAACCCCGCCGCCCCTACACCCAAAATCCCTACACACTAAAACCATGAATGCTAGACCCCGAAATAAGACCTTACACCCTTGAGCTTCCAAACCCCTACAACCCCCAAACCCCCGAAATTCCTAAAGCCCCAAAATCCGCGAAACCCCCTAAACCCTAACCCCTATGACCCCTAAACCTGAACCCTAAACCCTAAACCCTAAACCCTACACCCCCTACCCCCTGAACCCCGAGAGCTACTCTCTCACTCAGCTCTCGGCTTTCCACAGCCCGTGTCGCCGCTGATGACCGTCCTTTGGTAGGGTTTAGGTGTGTAGGGGTTGAGGGTATTAGGGTTTAGGGTTGAGGGTTGAGGGCTTAGGGGGTGCAGGTTTAGGGTTTATGGGTGTAGGGATTTAGGGTTTAGGGCTTGGGGGCTCGGGGCTAGCCTAAGCCCACAAAACCCTCACTCTCGAAACCCTACGCTCCCAAGTCCCAGCTAAACCCTAAACCCTAAACCCTAAACCCTAAACCCTAAACCCGAAACCCCAAAAAAGGTCCGAGGATGCTGGTTTGGAGGTTCAGGTGCTTCTCCACTTCACCAACCTACACCAGGCTCAAGTTTAGGGTTTAGGGTTTAGGGTTTAGGGTTTAGGGTTTAGGGTTTAGGGTTTAGGGTTTAGGGTTTAGGGTTTAGGGTTTAGGCTCAAGAGTAACCTTGGAATAAACAGGGTGCCGTTCTTGAAAGTTTTTGGTCGTCAGGGCACGTTTAAGGGACTCTAAACATTAAGAAAAGGCCCAAACTCAAAATTACGATCCGAAAGCTGTTTAGGGTTTAGGGGTTTAAGGGAAAGTCCATAGCTCTAAGGCCTAAACCCAAAACCCTAAGCCGCCGTAAACGCAGGACGCCAGGGCCCGGACACGATGTTGTGCCGGATGCCCGCGATGATCCAGTCCTGGATTTTTGTACTTTTTTGGGGTTAACCCTAAACCCTAAACCCTAAACCCTAAACCCGGAGACCTAAATCTTCTGCTGGAGCCGCAGGAAGCGACCAAGACTTCGACAACTTCCGCCTCACTGTAAAAAACCCCGGGCTTAGGATCGATAAACCCTGAACCCTATACATCCTAAACCTACTTCGTGCTTTTTTGGAGGCATGGAGTTATCGTGGCAGTGCTTTAAAGCAGGGTTGTCACCTACGGATGCGGTACTTCTCCAAGGGGCCATTAGCATGTCCCTGGTTCGGATGTGTTTTATGACAAGTCCAAGAACTGGGATCTTAGGGTAGTTACCCCATTGCATACTCTATAAGAACCCAAGGGCCCGAAACTTCAGAACCCTTTTACAGGAGGTAAGGGGCCAGACTAAACGTTTCCATGAAAATCCTGTCGTGAGGTGCTTCCCCTAAACCGCCCAAACAGGGAATACGGGCACTACTGGGTTAGTCTATCGGAGCCGAAAAACACCCTTAAGCCCTATAAACTTAGGAAACCCAAAACCCCAAACCCTTAACCCAAAAACCCTAAACCCCAAACCCTAAACCCAACACCCTAGACCCCAAACTCTAAACCCTAAACCCCAAACCCTAAACCCTAAACCCTAAACCCTAAACCTCAAGGTCCTTCTTCTCGTAGGTCGGCATGCGCTTGGAAGCCTCACTCATGGCCGGTGCAGCAGCTCGCCGGGACTTAGGCACCTCGGGCTGCGTTGAGGGTTTAGGGTTTAGGGTTTAGGGTTTAGGGTTTAGGGTTTAGGGTTTAGGGTTTAGGAGTTTAGGGTTAGGGTTTAGGGTTTAGGGTTAGGGTAGGGTTCAGGGTTTAAAACTTCAGTATTTAGGGTTTAGGGTTTAGGGGGGCCTACAACCCTAAAGCAAACCCCAAAAGCTCCAAGACCCCCAAAAGCAAGCCCTGAAAGACGACCCCAAAAGCCCTAAACCTAAATCCTAAATCCTAAACCCTAAACCCTAAACCCTAAACACTAAAAGCCCCAAGACCGGCCTCGGACTTCTCGCTGACGAAGCCCTGGCCCGGCACAAAGGCTGCGGCATCCGCCCTCATGGAGCCGAGGCCTTGGCACTTTGTTGGGTTGAGGGTTTAGGGTTTAGGGTTTAGGGTTTAGGGTTTAGGGTTTAGGGTTTAGGGCTTAGGGTTTAGGGTTTAGGGTTTAGGGTTTAGGGTTTAGGGTGTTTCTTTGGTTGCGGGCAAAATAAGGGGGGGGGGGGGGGGGGGGTTGTGGGGTCTTTAGGGGGTTTAGGATTTTGTATGGCTTGTAGGGTTCGGGTTTTTTTTCGGGCTCATAGGGGGGGGGGGGTTATGGGGGAGAGTTTAAGGTCTAGGGCTGGTAGGGTTTAGGGTTTAGGGATGTTTGGGGTTTAGGGATGTTTTGGTTTTAGGGTTCAGGGGGGGTTGGGGGGTTCGGGTGGGGTCTCTTGGGGGTTTTAGGGTCTAGGGTTTGTAGGGTTTCGGGTTGTGTTTTGTCTTGCGGCTCATGTGGGGGTTTATGGGCGAGGGTTTAGCGTCTAGGGCCTGTAGGGTGTAGGGTTCAGGGATGTTTAGGGTCTAGGGTTTAGGGGAGGGGGGGGGTTCGGGGTCTAGAGCCATGAGAACCAAGGCCTCAAAACGGATGCCTATCTTGACTTTGTGGGGGCCTATTGTGGGGGCGGGCCACGACTAAAGAAGGACACGACACGCGCCTCTGCATCTAGAGCTCCTCGCGACTTGGCACGCGGTTTAGGGTTTAGGGTTTAAGTCAATGGCAAAATCCACTAGCGTCGGCCTTTCGACCTTGACAAGGACTTCACCCTCGCGGACTTCACCGCGGTGACTGCCTGAGGCAATCTGCAGAAACTTGTCGCAAAGAAGGACCGCAGTCGGCGAAATGAATGTTTTCCTGACACTGTCGCGGGACATGGTGGATTGCGGTTGGGCCCTAAACCCTAAACCCTAAAACCAAAACCCTAAACCCTAAAAGAGCATGTGTGGATGGTGTCTTCTCAATTCGGCACAACCGAAATCTCTTCCTGCGACTCATAGCCGATGCTGGGCTCCACCCAAACCCGAAACCCCAACTCCTAAACCCTAAACCCTATAAACCCTAAACCCTAAACCCTAAAAACATAAACCCTGAACACGAAACCGTTGAAAGACTATACAAAGATTAAGGCGATCTGGGGACAAGGGTTTCGGGCTTCGGGTTTAGGGGTGTGACTTGGGTTGGGGAGCTTACACAACAGGATGCGGGCGGGGGTGGGGGGGTGCCCTGGGCATCTGGTCAATCAAAAACCAAATTCACTACGCCGACCCCCAACCCTGCAAATGCCCCCAAACCCGTGAAACGCAAAACCCTGAACTCTCAATAAGCCTTTTTGATTCCTTAAGCCCCCGAAGCCCTACTGCAAGAAACCGAAAAATCTGCTATCTTGTACGCTATGAATATGAGAAGCGCACGAGCACGAAAAAAACAAACCCGCACCCCAAACACTCCCACACCCCCATCCCAAACCCTAAACCCTCAAGCCCCTCAAACCCCTCAACACCCTGAACCCGAAACCCTACAATTCCTAAACCCTAAACCCTAAACCCTAAACCCTGAACCCTGAACCCTGAACCCTGAACCCTGAACCCTGAACCCTGAACCCTAAACCCTAAACCCTAAACCCTAAACCCTAAACCCTGAACCCTAACCCTAAACCCTAAACCTTAAACCCCAAACCCGAAATGCCACACAACCTGGAAAAGCCTGGGCTCGCCAGCCATCGGCCGGCGGCGCAGCCGCCGGCGCCGGCCGGCGTTTTGCCTGGCCCAGGAGGTGGTGGCGGGGGGCCTTGCGGGGTTTTCGGGCTTGGGTTTAGGGTTTTGGGTTTAGGGTTTAGGGTTTAAGGTTTAAGGTTTAGGGTTTAGGGTTCAGGGTTTAGGGTGTAAGGTTTAGGGCTTAGGGTTTAGGGTTCAAGGCGTAGGGTTTAGGGCTTGGGTCTGGGGGTGTAGGGTTTAAATGGGTTTAGGGCTTGGGTTTGGAGGGTTTTGGGGTTGTGGGGTTTAGGGTTTAGGGTTTAGGGTTTCGGGGTTGTAGGGTTTAGGAAATTGGGGAGTTGGTTGATTGACGGTCTTGGGTTTGGCGGGTTCAGGAGCTGTTGGGTTCAGGGTTTTAAAGGGTTTAGGGTTTAAGGTGTTTTTTTTTTTTTGGGGGGGGGGGGGGGTTTGGGGTTTAGGGTTTAGGGGTAGGGCCAGGGTTTCAGGCCTTAGGGTTCAGAAAGCCCCCTGAACCCTCAGAAACCGCAAAAATCGCCATACAGTTTCACCGAAACCCTCAAGTACTCTGCTAGGGTTTAGGGGTTTAGGGGTTTCGGGGTCTAGGGCTTAGGGTTTCGGACCCTAAAGCCCTAAACACTTAAAAGCACCTAAACACCTTCCTTCCCTATTCTTTTTTTAGAACCTGAAAGAAAATAGTATTATTTAGCATCCTCTTGGGTTTGAAATAACCGAAAAAAACAATTCCCAAGGGGGAAAAGAGTTCCGAGCACAAGCGCTGGTCACTGCCTCGAAAAGAGCCTGGCCGCCCTGGCATCACTCTCCGGGCTCTGGTATTGAGGGCTTTAGGGTAAAAGGATGCCGGCTTAAGGTTTAGGGGGTTTAGGGGGTTTAGGTGGTTTTAGAGGGGTTTAGGGGTTTATGCAGGGTTTAAGGGGTTTAGGGGGTTTTAGGGTTTAGGGTTTAGGGCCTAATAGGGCTTTAGGGGTTTATGTTCTGGGGGGGGGGGGGGGGGGGTGAGGGTGCTAGGGTTGTTCAGAGCTCTAGTCTAAGGCTGGAACCATGGGCCCCTAGTATGGTCCCTTACCTTTGTTTATAGGGGCCCTGATCATTTATAGCGCATATAAGGGCTATATAGCAAGGGGCCAAAGAAAGAGCCCCTACTTGACCCTGACCACTCCGCAAAGTACGAAGAGTGGACGGTCGCGCGGCGCCTCACTTTGGTTCGATGTTGTTCGGGCAGCATGTTCTGGCACGAGTTGTCCACGTAGTTATGCAGTCTGGATGAAACTCGATATCGTCGATGCGGCTGTTCTTGCGAGTGAGTTGTGGCCATGTGGATCTCTTCCATGAAGATGAAGCAGATCGGCTCCTCCGCGTACTCCATGACGCAAGTCCATATGGCGCTGTTCGACATGGCTTGCGTTTATATAAAACTCTGGAACATGATCATTCTTCACTGCACCCTCGATCTAGGGTTTGGGGCCGGCTTAAGGTTGTAGGGTTTAGGGTCTAGGGGTTTTTAGGGTTTTAGGTTGGGATGCTGTAAGAGGGATTTGAGTACCCCCTGCTATCATTCTAATTCCCTACTAAGGACTGTTAGGATAAGGGGGAACATCCCAAGTCTTAGGGTTTAGGGTTTAGGGTTTAGGGTTTAGGGACTGGTTTGCAAGAAATTAATAACTCTTCGAGATTGGCGATCGGGTTCTAGGGTTTGGGCTCAGGCTTTTCGGGTCTTCGGCTTGGCGTTTAGGCTGCGGCTGTCGGGGTTTAGGGTTTAGGGTTTAGGGTTTAGGGTTTAGGGTTTAGGGTTTAGGGTTTAGGGTTTAGGGTTTAGGGTTTAGGGTTTAGGGTTTAGGGTTTAGGGTTTAGGGTTTAGGGTTTAGGTTTAGGGTTTAGGGTTTCCGAAGCCGTAAGACCCTAAAACTCTGGACCCTAAAACTGTGAACCCCTTGAGTCCCTGCGATTTAGGGTTTTGGGTTTCGGTTTTAGGGTTTAGGTTTTAGGGTTTAGGGTTTATGGTTTTAGGGTTTAGGGTTTAGGGTCTAGGGTTTTAGGGTTTAGGGTTTAGGCGTTTCAGGGCTCGGGGTGTCAAGCTTCTTTCAAGTCGGGGTGCTGGGGCTTAGGGGTTAGGGCATTATGTGGTTCAGGGTTTTTGGGGGGTTGGGCTTTGTTGTGTCCAAGGGTGGTGCCGATCTTTTGAAACCCCAAAAGCCGAGCGGCAGCCCTACGTGAACCCAAACGCCCAGTTTAGGGTTTAGAGTTTCAGGGTTTAGGGTTTAGGGTTTAGGGCAACTCCAAACCCTGAATCCTAAACCCCAAACCCCAATGACTTAAACCCTGAGGCCCTAAAGCCCCTCAGCCCCCTAAAGACACTCATAAACTTAAACTCCTTAAGGCCTTCAAACACCCCCCGGCCCAAAAAACCCTAGACTAAGCCCTTATCACACCTCAAACTAAAGACTGAAAACCCTGAAACCAAACAGTTTAGAAACCCTGAAGCCCGAAACGCCACCAAGCTAAACCGAACAGACCCTAAAGCCTAAACCCTAAACCCGAAACGTGCACCGAAATTTCAAGAACGAGGCCCGCGTGCACCTGCGCCGCTGCAGGGCGAACTGCCGGAGCCTGTCTCATTGGTTTCCCTACTACCCCCATCTATATCACCTTAATTAAGCCGAATTTTTCCTCTAAAGGGGCTTAGGGCCTAGGGCTTAGGGTTTAGGGCTTAGGGTTTAGGGTTTAGGGTTTAGGGCTTAGGGTTTAGGGTTTAGGGACCCAGGTTCCCCCGTTAAATGACTTTAATTTGGCGTAAGAAGTTCGGCCCAACGTATTTTCAAGAAGTTATGGATGGGACGCTTTTGAGACACGAGCTGCTAACGATCGAGAGTTTACACCCCTAAACCCTCACCCTAACCCCAAAACCCGTGAACCCCCAAATCCCCAGAAACCCCTGAACCCCTGAACCCCCAAATCCCCAGAAACCCCTGAACCCTTGAACCCCTCAACCCCTACACCCCTAAACCCCTGGACCCCTAAACCCCTCAACCCCTGGACCCCCAAACCCTAAACCCCTAAACCCCCTAAACCCCAAACCCTTTAAACCCCAAACCCTAAACCCTAAACCCTGACCCCTAAACCCCAAAACCCCAAAACCCCTAAACCCCAAACCTCAAACCCTAAACCCTAACCCTAACCCTAAACCCTAAACCCCAAACCCTAAGCCCTAAAATCCCTATTCCCCCTAAACCCCAAACCTCTTCTGCCCGCCAGGCCTCCACCTTTGGGGGGCGCTCAACTTCTTTGGGTGCCTGGCAAGTAGAGAGCTCTTCAGGAAGGGGTTTAGGGTTTAGGGTTTAGGGTCTGGGGTTTAGGGTTTGGGGTTTAGGTCTTGGGGTTTAGGGTTTAGGGTTTGGGGTTTAGGGTTTAGGTTTTGGGTTTGGGGTTTAGGGTTTCAAGGGTTCAAGGGTTCAAGGGCTTCAAGGCTTCAAGGCTTCAAGGGTTCAAGGGTTCAAGGGTTCAAGGGTTCAAGGTTCCGGGGGAGGGGGGGGGGGGGGGGGTATGTAACCCAAGGTTCCCAACTAGCCACCTAGCTACCTACCCCCCATGATCCCACTGCCTTAAGAAGCCCATAAGGCAAAGGACCCCGCGTGCCCCTCACAGAAACCGAAAAACGTTTAGGGACTAGGGTTCAGGACCCTAAACTAAGCCCTAAATCCTAAACCCTAAACCCTAATCCCGAAACCCAAAACCCTAAACCCAGGAGTTCAGGGGTTTAGGGCGCTTAGGAGCTGTGTATTCAGGGTTTGTAGGGTTTTAGGTGTTTAGCTTTGGCTGGGACCAGCATAGTGTGGCTTAGCTCCAGAAAGGTTTGGGACTGGGCGTTTAAGGGGCCTATGGTCTAAACCCTAAACCCTACAGCCACCCCGACTTCTCGGACAACTCACATGAAAACCAGAGCCCGTAGAAAGCCTGCCGAGGCCACCAATGGTAGCTCCTACTCTTGGTGGGAAAAAGCCTGGTTTGTAGCGAAAAACATAGCAATACTAGTAGATTCCCCCCCCAAAAAAAGGAAACCCAGGTAAGACCCCAGCCTAAACCTCAACCCGTACCCACCTTTCAACCCCCAACTTGGGCCCTAAACCCAAAAATAGGAAAAGTTCTAAACCCTAGACCAAGAAACCCGAAACCCCAAAACCCCATACACCACATGAACCCTAAACCAAAAACACCTATACCCTAAACCCTAAACTGTAAACCCTAAACCCTAAACCCTAAACCCTAAACCCTAAACCCTAAACCCTAAACCCTAAACCCTAAACCCTAAACCCTAAACCCTAAACCCTAAACCCTAAACCCTAACCCTCAGCCCTAAAGCCCTAAAACGTCTTCAACTCTGTGGGGCTCAACTCGGGGAATTGAAGTGTTCATTTTAAGGGCTTTTGGGTGAGAGTCCTGAGGGGGTTAGCTTCCCCGAACCCGAAACCCGAAACCCTAAACCCTAAACCCTAAACCCAAAACCCAAAAAACCGCAGGGTTGAGGCCTTGGTTCCTATAGATGGGTCGAACAATTACAAGGGCGCCAGCGACCTGCGCCGGAGCGGAAGAATAACCTGTGCGAAGGTAGGGGGGGGGGGGGGTTGTTCAGGGCTCAAGGTTTAGGATGTTAGGACGTCAGGGTTTAAGGGATTTGGGGTTTAGGATTTGGGGTTTAGGATTTGGGGTTAAAGGCCTGGGGGGAAGGAGGGAAGAATAGGTACCCAATACACTCCCTTAAAGGGCTTAGGATCGAGGATCTAGGATAACCCTAAAGCCTAAACCCTAAAGCCTAAAGCCTAAACCCTAAACCCTAAACCCTAAAAAGGCTTCTAGGGGTTGAAGCTGAGGGACGGAGCACGAAACCGAACCCCAAACCCGAAACCCTAAACCCTTTTAGAGTGTAGGGTTTTGGAGTTTAGGGTTAGGGAGGTTTAGGGAGGTTTAGAGTTTCGGGTTGAGTTAGAGTAATTCTAGGGTGTAGAGCTTAGGGAGGGTTTAGGGTTTAGGGTTTAGGGTTTAAGGTGTAGGGTTTAGGGTTTAGGGTTTAGGGTTTAGGGGTTAGGGTTTAGGGTTTAGGGTTTAGGGTTTAGGGTTTAGGGTTTAGGGTTTAGGGTTTAGGGTTTAGGGTTTAGGGTTTAGGGTTTAGGCCTTAGGCTTTAGGGTTTAGGGATTAGGGCTTACGGAACCCTAAACCCTAAACCCTAAACCCTAAACCCTAAACCCTAACCCCTAAACCCTAAACCCTAAACCCTAAACCCTAAGCCCTAAGCCCTAAGCCCTAAGCCCTAAACCCTCACCGCACCCTAAACCTTCAAAACCCTGTTTGTTAAGGGCCTTTGCACGTTCAAACTTTTCCCAGTCCGCAGGAGGAGGCCGCTGTTTATTCGCCTCCGTTTAGGTTTCGAGGGTTTATCGGGTTTATAGTATTGGTGGGGTTTCGGGATTAGGTTCATAGGGTTCATAGGTAGGGTTATGTAGGTGTTACAAGGTCGATAGAACTCATCGGGTGGTCTTTCAGGGCTCATAGAGCCCTAAACCCTAAACCCTAAACCCTAAACCCTAAACCCTAAACCCTAAACCCTAAACCCTAAACCCTAAACCCCAAACCCTAAACCCTAAACCCTAAACCCCGTTCAGTAGGTCAATGGCCTTTACCACCAGCTGCCGCCTGAGTGGTGCCTTGCCGGATTGTCGGGGTCGGTTTTTTGGGACTTCTGGATTTTGGGGCATTGGGTTTCGGGTTTAGGGCTATTAGGGTTTAGGGTTTAGGGCTATTGGGGTTTAGGGCTTGGTTGTCTACACCCCGAGAACTTCTCAAAACAGGCGGCAAGCCATCGGGAAATGTTATACTTGAAGTTTCAAGAGCCTGCTCCCGAACGTTCAGAGGGTTCTTCGCGCAACTGATCCTAAACCCCAAACCCGAAAACCTAAACCCTAAACCCTAAAACCCTAAAACCCTAAACCCATGGAGGCAAACCATGAGCCTTAAATGCCATCGGCATCGCAACCGCGATAGCTGAACTACGAAAAGATTTGACATGTGTGATAAGTCCGGGTACCTTATTATACGAAGCTTGACATGTTGGAATCTTATGACAGGGACCCCCCCACCCCCAAGCCAACAGTGGCACTAGAATAGAAGAACCTATAAACTTCTAGGATTCTACAATGCTCCTCAACCCTAAAACCATATGCCTTGTCGAGTTCGTCAAAACTCACATGCATGAGGGATGCGATATGGAGAATATGGCGAACATAAGATTGTCGTTTGGACAGTTTGGTGGTGGGGGGGGGGGGTGAACTGTTGTTTCTTTCAAGGGCTCCCTTGTAAAGGATCCGCATATCCCATAAGCAGAAGAAGCAGAGACTCTGAACCCTAAATCCTAAACTCTAAACCGCGAATGTTAAGCCCACTACCCCGAACCCTAAACCCTGAACCCTAAATGGACTGTCGGCTCCAAGCAAATCTTCCACTCAACGCTCGACGGAAGAAACTGGCAGCAGCCTTTTCCGCTAGCGGGGGCCGGCGCGCCTCACGGCCGTTCCTCACCCTGAACTCTAAACCCAAACCCTAAACCCTAAACGTTTACTTTTTACCACCCTCAAGCCATTTTTTGGTAAGGATCGAAAGTAATCGTTAACATCGGAAGGTTTAGGGCTTAGGGTTCCATGAGTAAATAGTACCGCTTCTTACTGGTAGCTCTATAAGTTTCTGAACGAACAAGCACCCCCCTATGACTCCTGCAAGCAGACGAAGGCCTTTCAACCCTAAAACCCTAATAACACCCTGACCCAGAACACCCTAAAACCCTAACATCCTAAAGCCTTGACACGGGTTGAGAGAGTCTGGAGGAAGGGCTTGCAGGTTTAGGGTTTAGGGTTTAGGGTTTAGGGTTTGGGGTTTAGGGTTTAGAGTTTAGGGTTTAGGGTTTAGGGTTTAAGGTTTAAGATTCCACCCTCTGTCCTCCAGCCTACATAACCAGGCGTTTAGGGGTTAACCCAAAGAGCCAGATGAGGGCCCTAAGAGTAAGGATCCGGGTCTAAGGCCCAAACTTGTGGGGTTCTTAAGCGATGGGGGTTCAAGGGTATGTAACCCGAGGTTCCCTGATACCTCCCTAAGGCCCCCTAAGCTTCCCCAAAGTTCTCGAAACACTAACCCTAAACCCTAAACCCTAAACTAAGTGAGGGGTCGCTTCCGTCGAGCGACAGACCCCGAACGCTCGGCCGAGGGCCTTACAGCCCGAGCGCCCAAGCGAAAAGAGAAACGGAAAGGTGAGGGTTAAGCCTCACCGTCTGTCCTGGACAGGCCAACGGACATCGGCCTTTTTTACGACAACGTCAGTACTCGGCTAGCTAAAGAAAAACCCCAAATCCGGAGGTCGGTTCAGGGTTTTGGGTTCAGGGTTTGTCGGGCCCCCCCCCCGGGGGCCCCCTGGTCCCTGGTAGCTGGATTCCTGGACCAGGAGGCTGGCGAGGGGTCCAGGCAGGCCTGGTTTCGGATTTCCACCCCCCACCAAGGGCCCCCCAGGCCAAGGGCCCCCGGGCCAAGGGCCCCCCGGGCCAAGGGCCCCCCGGGCCAAGCCCCCCGGCCAAGGGCCCCCCGGGCCAAGGGCCCCCCGGGCCAAGGGCCCCCCGGGCCCGGGCCCCCGGGGCCAAGGGCCCCCGGAGGGGGACCACAAGATTTGTCCGTGCCCACAATGAGAATATTGTTTTTAGGCACCCCTGCCCGCATTTTAGTATTGAAATCGATGGCTCCCCCTAAATCAGCAAGGACCTCTACGGGTTCACGTGTTGAAGGCCCGAAAAGGACCGAAACTACCCCGAACCCCAGCCTAAACCCGGCACCGCAAAACCCTACGACGGCCTTCAAGCAAATAAGGGCCTCTACGGGCCCTAACGTGCCGAAGGCCCGAAAAGGGCCGAGGCTACCCCGAACCCCAGCTTAAACCCTAACACCGCAAAACCCTACGAAGGCCTTCAAGCAAATAAGGGCCTCTACGGGCCCTAACTTGCCGAAGGCCCGAAAAGGGCCGAGGCTACCCCGAACCCGAGCTTAAACCCTAGCGATTGAAAGACTCATTGGCGAAAAATTCATTAATAGGTTCCCTGACCTTTAAATGAATAAAGCCTCTACGGCCCCTGACACGCCGAAGGTCCGAACAAGGCCCCCCGCAATGAAAAATGCGATTTTTTGGTAGTGAAATCGATGCTTAATTGAGGCCCTTAAAGAAAGGGAATCCAAAAGCAGACACAAAGGGTTTCCCTGACCTTCAAATAAATAAGGGCCTCTACGGGCCCTGACACGCCGAAGGCCCGAAAAGGGCCGAGGCTACCCCCAACCCCAGCTTAAACCCTAACAGCGCAACTTTAAAAACATCAAAGCAAGCATCAGAGCACAAGAAAGTAAATTCCATAAACCCTAAACCCTAATAGAGTATAGTTTGGGTGGCCGGGGTGGGTTGACGGGCAACGCGAGCGCGCGGCCCGGGGTGTTTCACACCCGAGTGCGCGCCCTGCCCTGACACACCCTAAACCCTAAACCCTAAACCCTAAACCCTAAACCCTCAACCCTAAACCCTAAACCCTAAACCCCCCCCCCTCCCTTAAGGAGCCCAACTCCTTATGGCCGGCTGACACAAACTGGAGCGAGCCTTTACCGCTGGTGGGGGCCGGCGCACCTACAATGGGCAAGCTAGGGTTTAAGGTTTAAGGTTTAGGGTTTAGGATTTAGGGTTTAGGGTTTGGGGTTTGGGGTTTGAGATTTGGGTTTGGGGGTTTGGGGTTGGGGTTTGGGGCTTGGGGTTTGGGGTTTGGGGTTTGGGGTTTGGGGTTTGGGGAACCCTATTTAAATGCCCTACACCCTGAACACTAAGCCCCAAACCCAACACAATGCCGCCGATTTTCAGTGCGGTTCCTTCGAAGCCCTAAACCCTAGACCCTAGACCCTAAACCCTAAACCCTAAACCTAAGGTGGCCTCCACCACCCTTGCCCTTGGCACTGGCCGCGGGCGCGGGAGCTGCGGTTCCTTCGAGGCGGGAGGTGAATTCTACAAACTTGTATGGGGTTTAGGGTTTGGGGTTTAGGGTTTAGGGTTTAGGGTTTGGGGTTTAGGGTTTAGGGTTTAGGGGTTCATTTAGGGTTTAGGGCTTCAGGTTCGGGGTCTAGTATAGCTTCTATAGCTGTGTCGGCAACGGGGGAATCTTCGGATCCTACTCTGCATCCGTGTGCAGCAACAGGAACCCCTTAGAAGCGGCCCGCGCCCTTAAGGAACAATTCTCAGCTGGACTACAAGCTAGTTTAGGTTTCTGGGGTTTAGGGTTTAAGGCCTAGGGTTTGGGGTTTAGGGTTTAGGGTTTAGGGTTTGGGGTTTAGGGTTTAGGTCTCAGGGTTTAGGGTGCATTGGTGCGCACGCATGCTTTCCAGAGCGCTGCACATTCAAGTACCTTGGTAGCACTCTAACCATAGTTAAAAAATGGCACCCCTTTTATCGGTTGGTTGCTTTAAAAGGGAAAGGGTACCACTGGGCCACCCAAGATACTGCATGATGAGTATTCTTGTCAAATCGAAACAACCCTAAACCCAAAAACCTAAACCCTAAACCCTAAGCCTTAAACCCGAAACCCTTAACTCTAACCTTCGGAAACCCTAAGGAGGCCCGAAAGGGTTTTAAGGCAGAGGAGGGCTTGGCAGGGTTTAAGGCTTTCGTCGGGGTGGGGAACCGTGGCTTGATATAGTCTGGTTGGGTTATGGGTTAGAGTTGCATGGTTTAGAGTTTAGGGTTTAGGGATCAATCCTACACCCGTAACCCTAAACCCGAAACCCCTTCAACCCTAAATAACTCACTTGGGGGTTGTGGTCCTTCGTCCCCGTTTCCATTGGCTGGCATGGGGAAGGCGTCCTGACGTCGAACTGCCATTGGCATTCAACAGTTCCCCCGCAAGAATTTTCCGCATGGGACCCACCCGAAACCCGAAACCCTGAACCCGAAACCCAGGTGTGGTTAGGGCTTAGGGTTTGGGATGGGTTTAGGACTAGCCTTAGAAACCCCTATAAGCCCTGCACTAAAGGGCTAACTCGACATTCGAGACCATGTACAGTATATCATCGAGCCCAATCTGCCTCCGACACTCCGACGGGTACCAGGCCGGGGAGGTGGCATACAAGCCGCAAGCCCCTGAACCCTCCTAGGGTTTAGGGTTTAGGGTTTAGGGTTTAGGGTTTCGGGTTTAGGGTTTAGGGTTTAAGGTATAGATGCTTATATGATCTTCTGTCCGGACGCCAAAGCCCAAATCCCGAACCCCTACACCGACATACCAGGCAAAGCCGCACAAACAGTAAACCCCAATTAAACACAAAACCATGAACACCCCTAGGGCCCCAAAAGCCCTATAAGCCCTAGAAACCCCAATTGAAACACTAAACCCGCCTCTCAGCACGCGGGCTTAAGGCCTCTACATGGGGTTCATAGCTGCATGATTGCAACGGCGAAGGCTCTGGGCTTAGGGCCTCTGAAGGGCGCGGGGGCGGTTTAGGGTACCCAAAACAAAACAAATCTTGGGTCCGCCCCCGAAGTGGTCAGCTCTGTACATGAGGCTCCCGCTCTGGGAGGGCGCCTGCTACTAAACCCTTTCAAAACTGAAGCCTCGCCATAACCCCTGTACACCCTAAACCCTAAACCCTAAACCCTAGACCCTACACCCTTGTCCTCGAGATCCTCGAGGATGCCAAGAAAGCTTTGCGCACTCAGAGGCTTGTTAGTCTTGTTGCCTCGCGATTGCAAGGAGACATTTTCTAGGGGTTTCGGGTTTCGGGTTTGGGGTTTCGGGTTTAGGGTTTCGGGTTTCGGGTTGAGGGTTGAGCTGGGGCGATTCTGGAAGGCTCATAAAAATAATATTTTTTGTTGATTTTTGCATGCACTGGGAAAAAGCTCATAAGAATGCAGCTTTGTGTGACAGCAATGTACAGTGACGCATTCTTAAATTAACCCTTTTCTCAATCCGCACGATTTCTCAGAACTCATCGGGTCGCTTGTCGATGTACACCTGGCCGGGGAGATGAGTCCATAAGACACCGGGATCTTGGGGCAGCTGCACTTTTACAGTCGAGACTTTCAGGATTTTCAGGCATGTGGGGTCGTGGAATCTTGGGTCAACATTTGAGACCTAAGGCGCTAAGGTTCCTTCAACACTAAGGTGAAACTGTTGGACCTGAAGCCCTCAGCCTCAGCCCTGGAGCCTCAGAAACCCTAATCCCTAAACTCCCGGAAAATATAGACTGCCAAGATTGAAAAGTTGCCTACGGCACTCATGTTTCTTCTTTCATCGGCGCAGGTCTGGCTCCGCCCTTTCGGCCCACAACCGCAAATGGACCGCAAACAGTCCATATGTGTGCTGTGCAACTTGTTGAAAGACAGCGACACTCTGACTAGGATTGCAGGCTGACAGGGGGACAAGGCACTTTAAACTATGGATGGCTGCCCGCAAGCCGAGGCATTTAGGTACACCGTCCCTTATCTCGCAGTAGTTGCAACACATAACAATAGTACAACGAAGGCCCGGGGCAGAGCACATCAGGTCTGAAAAACAAGCCTACTCCAACCGGGCACACTTGGACCTGGGCAGGCCCTTCTTAATCTTAGAGCCACGGTGCCCTGTCAATTCATGTAATTTCGTGCCCTGACTCTGACTGGGTTTGGGCAATGTGAACCATGAATCTGAAACCAACCTTAAGCAGCCCGAGGCCCACCTGCGGACGCGATGCGACGACTTCCACGGCCGTGCACATGTGCCTTTTCGTCGGGGAGGACACTTCTCAGTAGACTCATGTCAGCCTCCTAGCTCCGCCTCAGCACCTCCTCAGCACCATCCGGGACCCAGCAGCTCTAATATATATGTCACAGCGAGTCATGACAAATGGCAGAAAGCCATTAACACTAAGCATGACCATGAGACCAAATTCTGGTAATAATTTAAAGACAACCGTTTCTATTTTCAAGTTGCCTCCTGACTCTTCATGATTCATAGCACATCCCTCGGCCCCGCACCTCCCCGGCACCTCCCCAGCACACCCGTTGACCTTTGCTGCACCTCAGCGGCGCAGTACGTTGTCTCTCAGTCTCCATGAATTTGGTGGATGTTTCAGGCACCGTGGTCACGCAGGCTGGATCTTGAACTCTTGAACATAAAATTTAAACTCTTACCAGTACATATATGTTCATGCTACTGCTGTAGTAGAGGCGCTGGGTCCGGGCTGCAGGCTCCATCAATCCAAGGCCAAAACACTGTGAAGCTTCGACTGAGGGTCCGGGCGTCGAAGCCCGTCCGCAGCTGACCTCGGGCTGTTAAAGATTGGTTTGGGGATTGGGGGGTCGGCTTCAGCTTGCAGTGGCCCTGACGCAAGCAGCAAGAATCTCAGCATATTTTCCCGAAGCTCGAGCAGGCCGCCGTGCATTCAGACCCCGAATCGCTCAAGCTCTGAAGGCTTCCTCGGCTGCCGGCACCAGCAACAACACAAGCAACACTCAGCAACAACCCCAGCAACAACAGCAGCTGCAACACAAGCTGCGAACTTGTCATGGACTCTGCAGAGTCAGAATGAATCATGGTCGTAGACTTATTATCACTCGCCAGGGACCTCAAAACAATGGAGACGAGATTCTGGCGGCATGCGATCCAGCAATGCCAGGGCCTTGTCAGCCACATCTGCATTGTTGCTCCGACTCCACCAGGGGAGTTTCAGCATCACGCGGTCGCTCTGCGCCACCACACTTGCGATCTCCTCATCGGAGAACGTCATCTTCCGGTCGGTGCTGGAGCAAGCGAACATCTTGTTGATCTCCATGACCACCTGTAGCAGGGTTTGGCAAGAAGCCATCGGCTTAACATTTCTTAAACGGCTATTCAGTACTAACCTGTCATTGCCACAAAAGCCAAGGGTCAGGATAAGGAACGGAGCGGCCCTGCTGAGTCGCAGTCTCAGCCACCTTAGTCACAGTCCATCTTTCATGAATACCCCCTCCGTGCAGGTAATCATTCGAATGAAAGTCAACGTGCACAATGGATTAACATGTTGAACACTTGCTGGCAAAAGGCAGGATGAGTGCCACTGCTGCCAGCACTGCCAGAAGCAGCGGGTCCCCCATCGCCGCCATCGCCGTCCTCCTGGTCGATGATCGAGTCAGCACAAGCAAAACTGCATACGAAGCAGAGCTCATTTATAACTCCTGTAAACTAACTTCATTGATTCCTCAGTTAGGTAGTCTGGGCCTACTGTTTTTCAAAACTTGAGTTTTTGGTGACAAGGAGCCCTCGCCGCAGGCGAAGATGCTTTCGGCGTCAAAGCAGCTTTGGCTTGCGCCGCGAGGCGGTCCTGCTCCTGAAATGGGCCAGGCTCATTATAAGTCCAATGCATTCATAACACAACCCTCATGCCCATTTTCATGAGTCAGGGTCCTCCTGCTTCCTCTTCTTGAACTGCTGGTTCTTCAGAAAGCGCTTGGACATCGGATTCCCCCTGCAGTGTGGCATGGCGGCAAAAGGCAGCAACGGGCTTCGGGCTTACTATTTAGATATGAGTGCGTCGCAAGACCAATGGCCTAGGGTGAATAGTCATGACCACATACATGATTCTAGACCATTACATTGGTTGCAGAAACATTGACAATCATGAATCAGTCTCAACCTGACATTGCCGATTGCTGTCTGTCAGGTCCGCATGTCTGGGCCAGATGGCTATGGCCCGGATGGCGAGTGCCCACTCCGCAGGGATTCCAAGTCTGGGAGGGTTTAGGGTTTAGGGTTTACTCGGCCCGGCGGTGTCTCTGAGTCCTGGTCCAGGCAACTGAGCACGGTTTAGGGTTTAATTTAGGGCTGGTGGAAGGGGCTTAGGGTTTACGGTTTAGGGTGTAGGGTTTAATAAATAAGGGTTTAGGGTCTGGAGCCTAGGGATGCCAGAGGTGGGATGTAGGGCCAGACTCTTACGCCAAATCAGCTGGGGCCATGTAGCTGCACTCAACCCAAACCCACAACCCTAAACTAACCCTAACCCTGTATCCGAAACCCTAAACCCGAAACCCCTAGATCCCACACCCATAAACCCTCAGCCCGAAGCGATGCCTCTTCAGCCAGAAGGACGGTCCGGTTGCCTTTTCATGGGCAATCCAGATTTGGGTTTTTTTATGGTCTCAGGGCTGTTCTTGGAGCTCGGGGATGGTGGCATTGGTGGGTAATGGTGGTGGTAAGACCCTCAACTGCCAGCTCACTTAACCCAGAAACCGGCGCCGTCGGCACCTCAAACCTGAAACCCTCAAGCCAGGCGCCATCGGCACCTCTGAACCCAAGGACAGCACCTCTCTGAACCCTGCATGTCTGAGCTGGGAGCGTGGCAGAATCGAAGAGGGAGTCACCGTCACCATCCACATGAGCAGGATGAGGGTCAATAGCAGTTTAAAAGCAGGTGTATTTTCAGCATTCAAATTGTAAAATCGGGCCTGCTTTTGTTTCCCGGGGGGTCAACTGACTGTGCTTGAGCCATGATATTTTGGTATCCTCAAAACGCACAAATCCACAAAAATAAAAAAACATTTTCCAGAAACACCCAAGTGAGGGTTGAGGGTTGAGGGTTGAGGGTTTAGGCGCACGAGGCTTATGTATATTTATGCTTGGGGGCATAAAAGGTTGGAGTTGTTCTGTAGGTTCCAAAGGGGAGTCCAATTCAGGGGCTAGAATGGGTATTCTAGGTAACTTAAAACCTACACCCTAAACCCTAAACCCTAAACCCTTCCTTTCACGACACCCTAAGCCTTAGCAACCCTTAGCATCATGAATATAAGAGGACGACCTTGGCTCTGATACAGCCTCCTGAATGAACTCGGACACACCTTATCCCCTAAAGCCCAAATCCAAAATAAGCCGAACCCTAAATCCCGAAATCTTACTCAAGGAAGGCGAAACTATAAAAACTTGGTCAATACATACAACCCTAAACTGAAACATGCATGTGTGTACTACAAAAACAAGTCCGCCTCCCCCCCCCCACCCCTCCCCCCCCACCCCCCCCCCCCCCCCCCCCCCCCCCCCCCCCCCCCCCCCCCCCCATCCCTATTAACCTCCTAAACCGATTGACGATAAACCCTATAAACCCAATAAAAACCACAAACCTCTTAATCTTATCAACCGTACAGCCCGCCCCCCCTCAAAAACCAAGACAAACTACCAAACCCGAAAAAAAAAAAACAACTACCAAACCCTACACCCTAAACCCCAAACCCCAAACCCCAAACCAAGAACTCTATGAACCCTGGGCGCACCCCAGAAGTCGTAGAAGCCGTGGAAGGGGCCGGCCATCTTATCCTGTCAAGCTTCGGGGCTTCGGGTTTAGGGTTTAGGGTTTGGGGTTTAGGGCTTGGGGTTTAGGGTTTAGGGTTTAGGGTTTAGGGTTTAGGGTTTAGGGGTTTAGGGCCGCAAGAAGGTTCGAGGAGTTGAGGTGGGGCTCCGCGGCATGTTAGGAGGTCTTTTCGGTTCTTGAGAGAACCTGAGGGTGGAGCGAGAGGGGGGTTCAGGGTTTAGGGTTTAGGGTTTAGGGTTTCGGGTTTCGGGGTTTCGGGGTTTCGGGGTTTCGGGGTTTCGGGGTTTCGGGGTTTCGTGGTTTTGGGGGATTTAGGGGTTTAGGGACTTTGATTTAGGGCTTATGAGTCTTGGGAGCAATTCAGGGTAGAGAGGGCTTTGGGGAGTTCAGGGATTCTTGGGGATTTGGATTTCGGGTTTAGGGGTTTGGGGATTTAGGGTTTTTGTTTTAAGGGTTTTGGGTTTTGCAGATTTAGGTTTTCGAGTTTCAGGGCTGAACCAAAATCCCACGCTGACCTGAACCCTTACAGCCTGAAACCCGAAATCCTACAGAGAACTCCAGCTTTGGGGGGGGGGGGGGGTGGTTTGGCTTCAAGGCTTCTAGGAGACTGGAAAACCTCAGAAAACAAGATGCCTCAATAGGATCCTCTGAAACCTTTTTTAGGGTCTCGGGCTTCGGGTTTGGGACTTTACCACTTCGGGGGGAGAACTATCAAAAACTTCCCCCCCTACCCTATATACCCTATACCCTAAACACCCTACACCCTACCTAAACACCCTAAACACCCTACACCCTACCCTAAACACACGAAACACCCTGAACCCTAAACTCGAGGGCGGCCTAGGGGCCTTCAGGGTTCGGGGTCTAAGGCTACCCTAAAGCCTAAAACTTCGCTGAGCCCTAAACCCTAAACCCTAAACCCTAAACCCTAAACCCTAAACCCTAAACCCTAAACCCTAAACCCCAAAATGCCCGATGGGGGGGGGGGGGATGCCTGGATGTTGCGCGGCGCTCCCTTCACCAGCTTCTGGAGCTGATCCACCACCTTTCACAAGGGTTTAGGGTTTAGGGTTTAGGGTTTAGGGTTTAGGGTTTAGGGTTTAGGGTTTAGGGTTCAGGGTTTCGGGTTTAGGGTTTAGGGTTTCGGGTTTAGGGTTTCGGGTTTCGGGTTTAGGGTTCAGGGTTTAGGAGTTTTGGCTTTAGAACTTTGGGGTTCATGGGTTGTGGTTTAGGATTTAGAGTTAAGGGTTCGCGCATGAGGTTTAGTCAGCAGCGTGTCGAGCGACAGAGAAATACCCACACGCCTGTCGGGTCCCGCAACATTTAAAAAAGCCGCGATTTTTAATACCCTTAGCTCGTGTTTCAAGTTGCCAGCAGAAAGCAGCTAACGGGGGATAGCACAGTCCAAGCACCAAAGTGGGCGAAAAAACGTCAAACCCCAATGTGCAGAGGGCAATTACAAAGTTAATCCTAGTTATTACCCTAAGGGTCCATGCACATTATCAATATATACTTGGGCCCCAAAGTCCCGAAATAGGAAGTACTTTAAGGCCCAAGTGTTCCCTATTTAGGTACATGGACCCTTAGGGTCACAGCTTTTCTTACCGTGTATCATGATTGCGAGAAATTCTTAGCGTCAGAACCACAGATCATTTGGCGCCCCCTCGGTTGGCCCAGCCTTACGACCATTTGGTGGGTTTAGCTAGCTTAGGGTATGGGGTTTAGGGTTCAGGATATTTAGGGTTTAGGGCTTAGGGCTTAGGGCTTAGGGTCTTGGGTTTTATGGGGTTCGTCTAGACTCCATAGGCTGTGTTTGGGATGGCACTTGCGGGGCCAGCAGTCCTTGACTTAGCAGAGGGCCAGATCCAACCCGCAACCCTCAACCCTCAACCCTCAACCCTAAACCCTAAACCCTAAACCCTAAACCCTAAAACCCTAAAACCCCAAGCCCTCGAAACCCAGGGCTTCGGGCCTGGCCTTAGGATGTCGGAACTTAGGTTTAGGGAGTTCGGACTAGGGGGTTACTTGGAGGTCCAGGGTACCGATCACAAGTGTAGCGATAACCGACCAAAAAGCCCCTTAAGTGCCTAATATGGTTTAAATAAAGTACAGTTATAAGTACAAGTAAAAAGTGGGCTAAGAAGTACCATGAACCTCCAAGTAGGTTTAGGGTTTAGGGTTTAGGGTTTAGGGTTCAGGGTTCAGGGTTCAGGGTTCAGGGTTCAGGGTTTAGGTGTAAGGTTTACGGGCTTTCAGGCCCGCCTGCTGTACGTACTTCGACAGCTGATCCGGATTTGGTACCTCGGCCCGTGGTCGCAAGACGTCGACAGCACTTCGGTTTAGGGGTTAGGGTTTAGGGTTTAGGGTTCAGGGTTTAGGGCTTCTTTACTATCGATCCCTCACAGGGACTCAGGGCCGTACGGGGATTCTATCGTGATCCTGATCCACTCCCTCACTTCTCCTTAGGAGCCCTTTAAGATCTCTTGTAAGCATCCCGAAACCCTAAACCCTAAACCCTAAACCCTAAACCCTAAACCCTAAACCCTCCATGCTCCCAGGCTAAGCTCGGCACCTTGCCAGCCTCCAAGCGGTCTCGCACCTGGAGGGCAGGCTGAGCTTCGAGGGCTGGGCTGAAATGGCAGCTTTTCTGCTTGAACCTCCGGTTTAGGGTTTAGGGTTTAGGGTTTAGGGTTTAGGGCTTAGGGTTTAGGGTTTAGGGTTTAGGGTTCAGGGTTCAGGGTTTAGGGCTTAGGATTTAGGGAAACCCGAAAACCTCAACCCATAGACCCCCTAAACCCCCAATCCTAAACCCTAAACCACAATGCTGCTGTACGGCAAGACGAGTCATGGGTGGGCGCTCCTTACAAAAGTTCGCTCAGCTCCCCTTTGCTCCCATGCTTTCGATCCATATGTCCACTCTGCGTTTTGTGCCAAAATCTGTGGGCCTGTCTGGCTCCTTGGAGGTTCATGGTACTTCTTAGCCAATTTGGAACAGTACTTACAACTGTACTTATGACCCTATTGGGGCACTTAAGGGGCTCATAGGTGTGATATTTGTAAGTACAGTTAAACATTGGTTAATCAGTACCATGAACCTCCAAGTAATTCTTAACTGGGGTCGCTTCGTGACGGTCCACATGACCGATTGCATAAACCTTAAAAACCCTAAACGAAAAACCCTAAACCCTAAACCCCAAACTAAAAACCCTAAACCCTAAACCCTAAACCCCAAACCCCAAACCCTAAACCCTAAACCCTAAACCCTAAACCCTAAACTGCCAAAAAAAATAAAAACATCAAGCAGACCCGGGCCTCGCTGGCCACCTTGGTGACATAGCTGCACACGGCCAGCATGGCCTGTGACGGTGGCACCAGACAATGCTTCACTTCCTCTGCCCGAAACAACCCCACTGTAGGGTTTAGGGTTTAAGGTTTAGGATTTAGCACCTGACATCCGGGAGAAAGGGTCTAGGGCTTAGGGCGCTTGGCTGAATTCAGGGGGGATATTATTGGTCCTTCCAATACATCACTCACCATCGCCCCTGCAGCCCCAAACCCTCTACCCTAAACCCTATGCCCCACATGAAATGAAGTCGCATCTCAGCGCTGATTAGGGCTTAGGGTTTAAAGATTCGGGCAGAGTGTTCTGCCATTTGGGCATTAGAAGTCCTGTCACCTTCGAAGACTCTCGACCCTACAAAACCCCCTAAACCCTCTGAAGTCTACAGCCTCTAGACCCTCTAGACCCTCCAAACCTTCTACACCCTGTAACCCGAAAAACCCCTCTAGTCCCAAAATCCCGCTAACTCTAAAGACCCTCTAACCCTTCTACACCCTAAACCCTAAACCCTAAACCAAAATCCCCTCGGGGTCGCCGTCCTTCGATTGGTCCGACATGGCCGCTGATGGTCTCAGTGGGCCGCTTTGACGTCGAGAAGTTGTAGGCATGTGGGCTTCGAGGCTTAGGGTTTAGGGTTTAGGGTAGGGCTTTTGGGTTTAGGGTTGGGGGTTTAGGGTTTTGGAGTTTGGGGGTACGACTTTAGGGTTTAAGGACATGGGGGCTTCAGGGTATAAGGCCTGGTGGGCTTATGGGTTTGTCATCCCTAACTCGATACCCTGAAAGCCCACAACCCCTAGCCCAACGCCCTGAGCCCTAAGCCCGAAGCCCTAAACCCTTAAACCCTGACCCTAAACCTTAGACTTAGGAGTTTGCAGTTGGGGTTGGTACCAGCTTAGCCATTCATTCTGTATTGACTCAGGCACCGGCCGTAGCTTGGCAAGCGGATGGCAAACTCTCCAAGCACGCCAAGGAGACCCTACGCAATATAGGGGGCCTTAGTAACTTGAATAGGGTCTTGGGGGGGGTTGTTCTAGTATAATCATAAAGGGACCATAAGGGAATTCTAGGAGTAATTATTCCGTCCATGAAATCTTGGACTCGTATCACATGCTCTGACCGAGGTTTAAGTTGGGTGGACATCATCACTGACCTGTCGTCTCTGATGCCTGCTGGGTGGACTCAAGTCATGAGCCTTTAAACCCTAAACCCTAAACCCCAAACCCTAAACCCGAAACCCCTAAGCACAAACTGGCACCGCATCTTGAGTAAAGCTCAAGCATGGCGACTGCGGGCAGGCGGGCGCTTTCTCCCCCAAATCCTGAACCCCCTACAACACCCCCATGAGCCCCTACCTTGGGGACCAAATGAACCCCAAAATTGGGGTCATATACCCTGTACTACTATAATTCCTATCAAAGGTATATGAACCATAAACCCTTTTAGGGTTCATGTCGTCCCCAAGGTATAAGCCCCCCCTTGTCAGCCCTGAAAAGCTCCTGTAAACCCAAAAACCGTCTAAACCCTCCGCTCTACACCCCAAAGTTGGGATCTGCCCCCTTCTGCTGGCAGTCCTTACTAGGGATAATGGCGGGCATACTACGAGTATAATCCCTATTCAGGACTGTTAGTATGTGGGGGAACATCCCAACGGATAAGCCCTACACTCTCAACCCTAGAAGGCCCTAAACCAGCTTAAGGGACGTCGGTGCCTAGGTCCGTTCAGGCTCCTTGAAGTCAGAGGATCTGCAAAGAGGAGATTCCGGAACAGACGGTTTAGGGTTTGGGGTTTGGGGTTTAGGGTTTAGGGTTTAGGGTCTAGGGTCTAGGGTTTAGGGTTTAGGGTTTATAAGGGTTTGCTACGTCAAAAGGGTCATCATTTTGTGCCGCTCGCTTGACATTGAACCCCGGGCCACCGACCTGGCCTTGACCTTCGCCTATCAAGTTGCTTCCATTTCAGCACCCATTTGGGTGGCTGTCAAAATTCTACCCTAAACCCTAAACCCTAAACCCTAAACCCTAAACCCTAAACCCTAAACCCTAAACCCTAAGCCCTAAGCCCTAAACCCTAAACCCTAATCCCTTTTGGGGTACCCTAAATCTTAGGGTGCCGTATTATGATAGGGATCCAAAAAGGGACCATCATTTTGACAACCACCCACTTGGAGGTTAAACTTCGATCCTTGCACTGTCTAAACCCTGAAACCTTAGGGTTTAGGGTTCAGGGTTTAAGGGTTTAAGGGTTAAGGGTTAAGGGTTAAGGGTTAAGGGTTAAGGGTTAAGGGTTAAGGGTTAAGGGTTTAAGGGTTAAGGGTTAAGGGTTTAGGGTTTAGGGTTTAGGGAACCCCCTATTTACACCCCCAAAGAGTAGGATCCCCTTATAATATGGACCTCAACTAAAAGAGGGTCTGGACCCGGCGTACATTCTAAAATCCAGCGTCTGCATTGCCCATTTTCGAGTTTTCACCGGTCAAGAACCACCAGACCTCCGCCGGGAGCACCCCCCAGACCTTTAACGGTGCTCATCTTCGAGTTTTCGCGGTCCAACTCCAAAAACAACACCGTTCAAGACCCTCCCTAGGCCTTCAACAGTGCCCACTTCGAGGTTTCGTGCTCCAAAAACTCCAAAAACGGCACCCCCCCCCCCCCCCCAGCCACTTCAACGTCAGAGTCCCATTGGTCTAGTGCTCAGGCGTCAGACTCAAAATCACAGTAACCCAAGACCCTAAACCGTAAACCCTAAACCCCATAAACCCTGAACTCCTCCAAACCGCCTACAACACACCCTCAAACACCCTTAAACCCTCAAAGCCCAAAAGCCCTACAAACCCCTAAACCCTCAAAACCCAAACCCCCTCAACCCTAAACCCTAGCCCTAAACCCTAAACCCTAAACCCTATAAACCCTAAACCCTAAGACCCTAAAACCCTAAACCCTAAACCCTAAACCCTAAACCCTAAACCCTAAACCCCAAACCCTAAACCCTCCCTAAACCCTAAACCCTAAACCCTAACCCCCTGGTCGGAGGAATCACCTTTGGCATCCTCGTAGTCTGCCAACTCGGGGTGCCGCAGCGCAGGCTGGCAAGAGGAGGTCCGAAACGGGGAAGATGTGGGTTTAGGGTTTAGGGTTTAGGGTTTAGGGTTTAGGGTTTAGGGTCTAGGGTTTAGGGTTTAGGGTTCAGGGGCATATAGCTGCGGGGTCAGGAAGATCATACGTTCAGGGCGTCGGGTTCGGGGTTTGCTTTGCTATTCCCCACTTGGAGGTTCCTGGTACTTCGTAACCAATGATATCTGTACTTTATAGCCCGCTGATAAGCCCCCTTAAGTGCCCTAATATGGATATAAGTACAGCTCTAAGTACTGTTATAATTGGTTTAATTCCCTAAGCCCTAAACTCTAAACCCTAAACAATTAAAAAGCACCATGACCCTCCAAGTTGGGGGTTGGGGGACGGGTTGGGGGTAGTGTTCTGGAACGGGTGCAGGAACGGGCGGAAGAGAGAGTCCAGCCTACAGGGCTTGGGGGCCTCACCCTGAAACCTACTTGAGCGGTGTTTTTTTCTCAAGCACCTAAACCCTAAACCCTAAACCCTAAACTTATAACCCTTCTGCGGCGCTTCCTTGAGCCTTGCGTGGAGATACGTGACTCCCTGTTCTCACCAGAAACGGAACTCAGTGACCTGAGTATCTAATTAGATGTCCAGGTACCCCTAGGTTTTTTGGTTGACGGTCAGGGGTCTAGGGGGCAAGTGCCAAGGGTTCAGGGGAGAAGGATTTAGGGTTTAGGGTTTAGGGTTTAAGGTGTAATAGGGGCAGGAATAGGGGTATATGGAGGGTTTAAATGTAGGGTTTAGGGTCTACGGCCTCATTACGAAGTTGGGAATGGGAAGCATAGAGCTCAAAGGGTCCATGTACCTTATTATTCTGTACTTGGGCCCCAAAGTCCCGAAATAGAAAGTACGTTAAGGCCCAAGTATTCCCTATTTAGGTATATGGACCCTTAGGGTTACTACTTTTCTCATCGCGTATCATGATTGCGAGAAATTCTTAAAGTCAGAACCCTAATTAAACCCCAAACCCAAAACCCCAAACCCCAAACCCTATACCCTAAACCCTAAACCTAAACGGGAGAGCAATGGGCTCTGGGCTTCCCAGCGACCCGTCGCCTTCCGCAGAGCTTCGCTCTCCGAGATGTGGAACAGCGATGGGCGCGCGACTCTTACGGTTGCCGGCATGTGGGGCTTCAGCAAGAAATATATATATATATATGGGTACATGCCTATCCCCCCCCCCTACCTTTTGTGCAATTTCCGTCTTTTGCACTTTGTCTGCACTCGATGTTTCTATTATGTGTGCCAAAACCCCACCCGCACCAACGTACCAACGTCCCAATCATTTGAGCCCATGATTGGGACAAAACCCCAGCCGCACCAACGTACCAACGTCCCAATCATTTGGGCCCATGATTGGGACAAAACCCCAACCGCACCAACGTACCAACGTCCCAATCATTTGAGCCCATGATTGGGGCAAGAACCCGACCGCACCAATGTACCAACGTCCCAATCATTTCGGCCTATGATGGCACGGGATGAACTAATGTACCAATGTACCAATGTACCAATCATGTCGGCCCATGATTGGTACACAGGATGAACCAATGTACCAATGTACCAATGTACCAATGTACCAATGTACCAATGTACCAATGTACCAGTGTACCAATGTACCAATGTACCAATGTAATTGGTACCAATGTACCAATGTACCAATGTACCAATGTACCAATGTACCAATGTACCAATGTACCAATGTACCAATCATTTCGGCCCATGATTGGTACATAGGATGTTTGTACCAATCATGGGCCCAAATCATTGGTACAATGGTACATTGGGTCATGGGTCGTCCTTTGCACCAATCATGGGCCCAAATCATTGGTACATTGGTACATTGGTACATTGGGTCCTGGGTCGTCCTTTGCACCAATCATGGGCCCAAATCATTGGTACATTGGTTCATTGGTTCATTGGTTCGTTGCTGCGTTGGCACTGTCAGTAAACCCTAAACCCTCTGTGTATGTATGTAGGGTGTATGTGTTGCATGAAAAGGTAGAACTTCTACCCACGTCGCCGTGTAGGTATATTATTCTTATTGTATATCAAATAGAGAAAGTGTAGAGGGAAGGACGGTATTCTCAAACCATAAAACTAGGAAGCATTTGATGGCATAGGGTGATGCGAACAAATCCATTATATGTAGGTCCCAGGGAAGCGAGAACACTGTGAGCAAATACATCTATTCGTCCAAGATTTGGGCCAAACCGTATTCGCTTTAAATTTAGTTAAACAACAACGTTGGCTATCAACCCTAAACCCATGCCAAGGTGACTCGACTTCTACACCAACTTCTTCGGTTTTTTGGGGGGGAGTGTTCTGGGTACAGTAGCTATAATGGAACACCAAAGGTGTTTATAAACAGGGTCGGTGATTATAAACAGGTGTTGTGTTAAGTATAGTATACAAGTATATTCAATACTCATTATACCTTTTCTTTTGA